ATCTTATCACCATAGTATGTGGTATGGGCCAGGCCAATACTCAATCTTCTTACTGGATGCTTGACTCTCTTACTCCTTCTTAACGGCTGCTGACCTTCTCTATCGGCTAAAGCATCTTCTATCTGCTCTTCATCACTAACTATACTTGCTTCAACATCAACTTCATGAGTTGGGCTTGCTGCTACTGATTCATAAGTACTCTTCTCTACTATTTGGGCTTTGCTTTCATCGGTTAAGGGCTGTAGCTTATCGGGTTTCACATACCGCAGGTTAACCAAACGCTTGGTCTTACCATCGGTGATGATCACAGTAGTGGGGTGTTGCACGGACGGAGAGTGTAGAATCCACCACCCAGCTTGCCAGACATCTGCCAGCTTGTTGTCTACATTGATACCCCCAACTCTTCTAGTATATAGTAGTACTTTACAACCTTCACCGTAATCTTCACCACTCCTCTCCTGATCCCGATTACGTCGATCATAATAGATCTTATTGTTCCGATGCTGCCATGCTTGTTGGGTACGCACTGCATCCCATAAAGAATATAATTCGCGTAGATCATACCGATCCGACTCAATGATATAGGGATCACGCCCAAACAACACCATAAATGGACTGTGGTTACCCAATGCTTTATGGGGGCGGCTATTATACACATAGACTAGTTTAGCTGCTTCACGACGGATATCAGTAGGCGTCCTTAAAGAAAACGCTCTTGCCAGCTGATGCAAGGTGCGATGAACCCGTTCAGCTATGGAGTTACCCTTTGGATAGTACTCCGAACTTCTCCTCAATGTCACTCCAAAATCTTGTAAGGTCTTCCTGACCTCTGGGCCACTGAGATTCCTCGCATTATCGGCCATAATTGTCCCAGGAGGTCCCAATTCAATAAAGCACCGCATCAACATCGAAGCCACCCAGTACGACGCCATAGAGGGAAGATTTTCCCATACCAAAAACTTACTGAAGGCATCGATGATTGTCAAAAAATGTATCGGGCCATAGGAGACGATATCAATATGCAGTACTTGCCATAGAGCCTTGTGACTCTGTGGCGAGTTAGTTTAGGTTTTCCATGTCATAGCGCCAGTGAGTTCCAGGCCGCTGTAGGTCTTGGATGGTCAAACTAGCAGATAATACTCACTTGTGTGACCATAGTTTGTGAATGTAGGGCCCTTCGCCGCCAAATCCTAATCACATGATGTCAAATAAAATGGGTTAAAATGATCGACATCATGTTGGATAGTCTATCTAACCGTCCAATCGGGCCATTTATGGTCATCGAGTGAAAAGCCTGTACTAGTAGTACAGTACTACAGGCGTTCTGGTAGTATACCACCTATACGTCACTGGCGATTGACATCGCCGTACTCAGGGTTGGTAGTGGGTGGGTTAAAATTTCAGAATCCCCTTGTAGACCGATACCCACGGTCATGTTCGCAAGTAGCTCAGCTCTCATTAAGAGCCGTACTACTATTGCGAACTACAATTCTACAATAGAACTTCTATTATAGTGATCGCTTTCTTATTCATAATTCGCTAAGTGCTTTAGCGTACACAATTGTGTCACAATCTTTAGAGTGCGTTGTGT